TGTCAGGGCTGGCCATCCCAAAGGAAGAGCTGGATCCAGTTCTCATGTGGAGGGCACCCCTTTCCTGCTGGGCAGCTCAGCCCTGGAGGGTCCCTCCTTTTGCTTCCGTGCTTCCCAATGATCAAGCAGGGTTTTGGAAGGGTCCAGCCTGCACAAACCCCTCCAGGACCCCCTCAGCCTTAACCTGCCTCTTGTCCTCTGTTATTCCACAGGAGTTTGCACCAATCTCTGTGCTCCCTCCAGAGCCATCCTGCTCCTTCCAGCTCTTCCTGAGCCAGGCAGGGGCAGACCTGTTTGATAAGGATGGAATTATCTGTCTGCTTTGCCTAGACAAAGAAGGGCTGACAGGATTTAATGAGTGACTTGCTCACGAGCAGATGTGCAGGCTCCTCTCTCTGCCTGCTCCATGCGGGAGTTTCTCCCACAGGAATGTTTTGCAGGCTCAGGGTGTAGCAGGATCCATCACCACACTCACACAGTGTCCCTCTACGTGGTGGCCCCACAGGGGACAGCTGGGGACAAGCCACCACCGTGTGTCTCCTTTGGCTCCTGGTACAGGAGCGAGTTCACAGTGCTGGGAGGGATTTACCAGCACGGAAACTGGAGCGAGGAGAACAGTGCCAAGGACCACAAATCCATCTGGGACAGCTGCTGCCAGCTGCTGCCAGCTCTCCAGGTGGGTGACCTGACTGCCAGCATGGGGCACGGGGAGCTGGGGGGCTCAGGATGCAGGAATGAGTGCTGGGACAAACCACAGGAGCTGTTTCCATGAGTCAGGGTTTCTGTGTGTCCATCATCAGGGTTTCTGTGTGCCCACCCAGGGCTCTTCCACCTGGCTGAGGGACAGGCAGGGCTGGGGCTGGTACTGAGACAAGGTTTGTAGGGATAATAATTACTCATGTATAGAACCAGAGCTTTGGGAGGTTCCAGCCCATTTTGTCCCCACACCTTTAGAGAAGGGTTGTGTGGGGTGAGGCTGGGTTGTGTCCACTCCCAGTGCTGCTGTTATTCCCTGGATTAGCAGGAAAGGTGGTGTGGGGCTTGGGCACAGGGATTTTCTTCAGTTTCAAGCTGGCGCTGCCATCCCAAACCGTTCTGCCTGGAGCTGCTGCAGGATGGGGAGCCCCCTGTCCCTGCTCATCTCAGGGCTCAGCTGGTGCCGTGAGGTTTGGCTGGTGGGATTCCAAGGAATGCTGTGCAGTGCTGACGTGCTTTTGCTTCCAGAAGGCAAAGATCGTCGGGGAGTGGAGCGGCCTGAGACCAGCACGGCCCTCGGTCCGCCTGGAGAGGGAGAGCATCCGGCTCGGCAATCTCCAGGCAGAGGTACCCGCCCAGCCCCGCGGTTGAGTGTAATTAATCACCGTGTTAATTGTGCCTGGGGCAGTGATAAACAAGGCCTGTTCCTGTGATCATCCCTCTCTCCATCTCCCCACCAACAGCGAGGGAATCTTTGAGTCCAGGGATAAATGTCAGAGATACTGAAAGAAATGATCGATGTGGCTGCCCCATCCCTGGAAGGGCTCAGGGATCAGTTGGAGTAACCTGGGCTTGTGGGAGATGTCCCTGCCCACAGCAGGGGATGGGACAAGAAGGGCTTTGAGATTCCCCCAGCCCATGCTGGGATTCCGTGCTTCTCCCCCAGGTGATTCACAACTACGGCCACGGCGGCTTTGGGCTCACCATCCACTGGGGCTGTGCCATGGCAGCAGCTCGGCTCTTGGGGACCATCCTGCAGGAGAAGAAGCAGCTGGCCACCCCCCCAGGGCCCCGCCTGTGAGCACTGCTCCCCTGGAATGGGTGACAGCAGTGGCTTAGGGATCACAGCAGGAGGATGGGAACAGCACAGGGATCCACACAGGGCTTGACCCAGCTCTGGCTCTCAGTGTCTCATTTCCAGGTCGCTGCCATTTTCCAGGTGGCTCCACTCCCTCCACAACCTGCCTGGAGGAAGGGCTTTCAAATATGGACTAATCATCCGTGGCAAAGTGCACCAAGGGCTGTCTGGGATCAGGCTGCAAAGGGCAGGCTGGGTCCAGCTGAACCCTGGGCAGTCCTGCAGTTCATCTGCACCAGGGGACAGGATCTGAAACAGAGCTGGGGACACCTGAGGTCTCTGCTGGCCGCTCCAACACCCAGTGTGTAATTAGATTTACAGGCTCCCCCCCAGGAGGTAAAAGCTCCTTAGTAGGAAGAAGCTCTGAGGCTCCCAGGGAAGTAACAGCAGCTCTGGGAGCACGTGCCTGGCTTACTCCAGTCTTCCTCACATTCCTGCCAGGACAAAGCTCAGGCCACAGCACCTGCTTAGTGTAGCTGGAACCAGACAGCAGCACTTGCCTAAAATGGCCTTTCCAAACGATGTTTTAGCAACAAAAGCAACTTGTTCCAGCCCTGTTGGCTTGCCAGACTCTATATATAGCAGAGAGCATAAGAAAATAGCTCTTCTTGTCCCTAAAACTCCCACGGGCCCCTCAGCTTCCCATTTCTCCCTCTCAGAGAGAGAGGGCCTGGCCTGGGGAAGGTTGTGCTTCTCAGAGGAGGAGCAGGACTTTTTGGGGTGTTAAGGGATGCTGCTGGGGACCCAACACACTGTTCTGAAGATACAGCCTGGCTGATCTTCCTATGCCACGTGTCTTTCCTGCTTTACAAACCAATCCAGACAGGATGGTGAGGAAGCCTCAAATCCAAAGGCTGTTGTGAGCCCAGCACAGAGCCTGGCTCACTCTCCTGTGTGGATAAGCCAAGTGTTCCTTACTCATCCGTGGTGCAGCTCCTCTCTCCTGCTGACTCTGTGTGCCAGGAATAGCTCAGCAGCGTGGGCATCTCCCTGCTGGGCTTAGCAGACACAGCTGGGCTGGGGAAATTGGGAGCCACTGTCCAAAAGAATTTCCAGCTTCCCTGGAAATGTTGCAGTCACTAGGTAAAGTCAGGAAAAGGAAAACAAAGGCTGGAGAAAATTCCCTGCTGATTAATGCTGAACCCAAGGGTCTGTGATCCCACCTCAGGAAAAGCCATTCAGGGGATCTGGATCCCCTTGGTTTCACTTATTCCAAGTGTGAGACATTCAGGAGCACATCCTCTGCTGTAAATCCAGCCCCACTTTGGTGATTTTGGGAAAATTCCACTGGACAAAGAGGGGTGTAGGAAATCATTGTACACCTGACAAGAAGCAGCTGATTCTTTGATCTCAGAGCCTGCAGGAGCCCTGTGATCTCACGTGGCCTCTTGGCAAACAGGAACGAGCTGATCTGTAATTTTATTTGCAGGTTAACTCTGTTTGTCTTCTAAAAGCCTCAATTTAATCTGTGTGACCAATAAAGGGAATGTTCAAATCTCTTGTGCACGATGGTTCTTCCTCTTAGTGATGGCACAGGAAAGGCCTCAAATGCCGATTCCACAGAAATGTCCCAGGAGATCACCATTCCATGTCTCCACACACATCTTTCCTAAACATTTCATCCTGGAGGAGTAGGAGTCATCACTCCAAATTCCAAGCAGACCAGGGAACCTGGAATATCATCCTGTGAAGGTCTGTGGTTGCTGACAGTCCCCAGGGCATAAAGAAGTCACAGAAATCACAGAATCGTGGATTTGGATGGGAAGGGGCCTTGAAGATCATCCAGTCCAGGACAGGGACACCTTCAACTATCCCAGGTTTCTCCAAGCCTCCTCCAACCTGGCCTTGGACACTTCCAGGGATGGGGCAGCCACAGCTTCCCTGGGCAAATCCCCACTTTTTATCAGTTTTATCAATTTAAATCAATTATCAAAATCGATTTTGATCAGAGGGATTAAAATTCATTTTGAGGCCAGGGAAGGTCAGGGAATGGGACCTGGACAATTCCTGCATGTCCTCTGACACACACAAAGCAATACCTCCCATGTCCAGTGTCAGCACATTTTAGAAACTCCACAAGGATCTCCCGTGACCCAGAACAAAGCTGGAAGCACATCAAGTATCAGGAGAGTCAGCAAACAGCAGCTCTGGCATTTGGGAAAACTCCTGCCAGAGCTCAAAGAGTGTTTGGACACCACTCCCAGGGATGCACAGGGTGGGACTGTTGGGGAGTTGGGCTGGATGATCCCTGGAGTCCCTTCCAGCTCAGGATATTCCATAATCCTGAGTATGAGCTTTAGAAATGCCCGAGGATGCCAAAAAGTAACCACAGATGTAAGAATATTCCCCCCAGCATTGCTTCAGCCACACAAACCCTTGCAGTTCCCAATTATTTCTATTCCCAGGAAGGAGGCTCTGCTGGGATCCCAGGCTGGGAGAAGGAAGATGGAAGCACTCTGGGATGAGAACACCCTGCATTAGCATGAGAAGGATTTGCAGCTCCTGAGTCATTTTGACTCATCCTTCAACCACCTCCTGCCTGTAAATAATCGGGCATCAAAATAAGAATATCAGTGACAGGGTGGAGGAAAATAGGCTTGGGCACTTAATTATGGTTTAGAAAAGTGATAGGGAAATGAAGGGTTTATACTGAAATGGAAATGAGCAGAAAGAACCCTCCCTGCCCCAAAGTCCAGACACATGTGGAGCCACCTGATGCCAGCACACCCAGGGAAGAGGCCAAACTGGCTGGGGTTTAGCGTCCAAACTGAATTAAATATGAAAATCAATTAAAGATTTAAGAGAATTTTAAAAATTATAGAATCCCAGAATGGTTTGGGTGAGAAGGGATCTTGAAGCTCATCCAGTCCAACCCCTGCCATGGGCAGGGACAAGTTCCACTAGCCCAGGTTGCTCCAAGCCCTGTCCAACCTTGCCTGGAACATTTCCAGGGATGCAGCATCCACAATATTTTGCTGTAGTGAGGTTACTTACAATGGGAACAGGAATCCTGTGACTTTTCTTTACATCTAAATACACAAAACAGACAGAAAATGAGTCAGACCTGCAGAGTGCTGAGCCCTGTAGATCAACCCTCTGAACACCAAAACAAAAAAGAAAGCAAAGCTATGACCCCTCCTAAACATCCCCCAGAAGAGCCAAAAACTTATTTCCTGAAAAAACTATTTATTTGTTTAACATAAAATATCTAATGTGGACTTCAACTCTCCAATGCCATGTCAGGAACAGGAACCAGAGGAGTATTTTACAACAAGCTTGAGATACACCAAGTTTTTCAACATTAAAATGTAAATCCAGCTTAGAAACTGTACATTCAGACATGGAAACATTCACTGCTCTTTCAGCAAGTATTTGGGAATAACAAATCATCCCATCCAAGCACACTTGGGGAATTACATTCCCACACCAGCTTGGCAAAACCAAATCCCACAATTCTGTTTGAATTCCAAAGGACCTCACTTTCCTGTTTGAAACAAAGCAGTTGCAGCAATTCCTTTACCAGTGAGAAATACCCAGTGTGGAAAAGGATTCTTTGGAAGTTTATTTTGTACCTAAATGGTGCTGCCCTACTGATAAAATCTAGAGGTGGTGGTTTAGAACTGGTGTGTGTCGACCCCAGTGTTCTCAGTGAACAAGCTAAAATGGCCTTCTCTTATTAATTACATGCAAATTCCTGCAAATCCTCAATTCCAGCTCTGTTTCTGCAGTGCCCAATGGGCTCCTGCTGAATTCAGCCAGGTGGGATCAGCTGTGGTGGGCTCCTACCTCTCCCTTTCATTCAGCTGATCCAAAGCCTATGGAAATCCACAGGAGATTTTCCCAGATTTCAGTGAGCTTTGGATCAAGCTTTAAAAAAAAATCAAAAATCCAGCAACACCAATCTTGGTATTTCTATCCTTAAATAGATTTTTTTTTTTTTAGTGCAGAATTCATAAAAAGTGAAAAGCAAAAACGCCTTCCATTTTTTTGGTTAACACTGTAAATTTCACAGGTTAAAACTGATAAACTGATCTATTCAACAGCATGGAAAATGTTGCATCCCCTATAAATCTTTACCTGGGAAGTGGCTTATCTGTAGGATCCAGGTGTGCATGAACAGAGAAACTTCACCTAAAACTCTCTAAAGGCCGTTGAATGCAATTCCTTAAAACTGCTGAATATTCACCTAAAAAAATGGAGTGAGATGTGAACATTACCCTGGGAAAGCAGAATTTTAACTCAAGGCATTGATTAACAAACTGGGCCAGGCCTGTCCTGCACTTTGGATTCTCTGTCACCTCTACCCAGGCTCAGTTCCAGAGTTTTGGGATGCAAACACAGCTCATGGCAAGGCCAGGGAAGGAAGCATGGAAACACCTGGGGGACTGGAATGGCCTGAGGGCCTCCAGCAGCAGCAGGGTGAGGATGGGATGTCAGAGCTGCCACTGAAGGGTGAACAGCCTGGTTGTGCACAGGCACACCCAGCTCCAGCAGCTTTTCCAGCTCTCTGGCCACACATGTGGGGTAATATCTGATTAAACCCACCCAGGATCTGCTTCCTCACTGCTGTGTCCCATATCCAGCACATCAGAGGCCACTCCAAGTGATAGCAGGGAGGTTCCCCATCCCTGGAAGTGTTCAAGGTCAGGTGTGGATGGGGATTGGAGCAGCCTGGTCTAGTGGAAAGTGTCCCTGCCTGGATGAGCTTTAAGGTGTCTCCCAAGCCAAATCCCTCTGGAATTCTGGTATTCCATGGAACAAATCCCTCTGGCTCTGCTCAAGGCTGCTCCGGGCCCACAGGGAGAAGGATCCAACTCCAGCCTGGCAGAAGGAGGGGAACAGATGAGCTGTGGTTGGTGTCAGTGCCACGAGAGCCCTGTCTGTTTACTGGGATCAGCTGGAGCTTGACTTTGGTGCAGCATGAGGACACAGGGACAGGGCACACAAAGGGAACCAACCCAGCTGGAAGGGACAGAGGGTTCTGTGCCACCACCCACAGCTGAGCCCAGGGATCCCAGGGATCCCTTGGGAGCTGAATTCATTTTCATCTCGCTGGGAAAAGCCAAGTTTGCCTGTTTCCACCAACCATTCCTGGAATCCTTCACTGAGTCACCATCCTCCAGTGGGACTGGATGGACACTTGGTGCCTTGGCAAACTCAGTTCTCAGCAGAAATCCCCCCTCACCCAATGTCAACCTCTTTGGCCTTTTCCATCAGCCTGAGTTTCCTGGCTTTCTTTAAGGAATTTTCCACTCCTGTTTTCCCTTCAGTCTCCAAGCAAGCAGCCTGGCACGTGGTGGAGCTTTGAGTGACCTCAGAGCTGTGACCCTCAGTGACAGCTGTGCCCCACAGTGCTCACTTGTACTGCATCAAACATGGACTTGGAGACCCATTCCCAACCCCAGGAATGGGACCTGCTTCCCAGGATACTTAAAATGTTCAAGTGTAAAAATGTGCTGCACATTTACCTGTGTTCAGGTGAGTCACTTGTCAGACAGACCACAAACCCTCACTGCTCCCACAGCCTCACCAAGTCCATCTCACCCACATTTAGTTGTGTGTCCCAAGGTCTGGAATCCTGAACATCCACTGAGGTACATCTCAGATCTCTACACATTCCCACAGACTCTGCCACCTGACCTGTGCCCAGGGACAGGTTTGTGACAAACCAGATGAGCTTGTCCTCACCTTGTCCTCACCTGAGCTCTGTTACATTCCCTGACAAGAGCAGGATCATCCCTTGAGGAGCCACACCTGAAGGAGGGATGTTCCTCATCCAAGGGCACTGCAGATGGGCTCCTCCCATGGTTTTGTTCATTTATTCCAGCTACATTCCTCTGTCACCAGTACAATCAGCAGGAGAGGTCCTGCCCAGCTGTCAGGGAGTGGCTCCATCCCAACAGCAGCTGGGGCTACCCCACCATGAGGATGTGCCCAGGTAATGGAGCAGGGACACACCTGGATCCACACAGAGAACCCCAGGAGTGAGAACCTCCTCACTCCAAGCAACAGACAGAGAGCTCAAGGTCCCTGGCAATACCAGAGAAGTCCAATTCTGCTCCAAAACACGAGGATTTATGCATTGGACTCGATGAGCTTGGAGGTGTTTTCCAACCTTAATGACTCTGTGGTTTATATTTCTGCTACAAGGCCCCAGCTCTGCAGCAACACCACCCTCCCTGCTCCAACTACCCACCTGGGATGGGAGAAACAGTCAGGAATCAATTTCCAAACAATCCACTCTCCAGAAACAAAACCCAACTGGAAAGCCTGGGTTGGTTTGACAGGATCACATTTTGGTGATGGTTTTGATGGCTAAAAGTGCAAGGCAGGCATTTAATCCATAGTGGTAGGGATGGAATCCACCCTGTGCCAGGCCAGGGCCACACTAAAGATGAACCTCTTGGTTTTAGGCATCAAGAGCTCAGTGTTTTAATGACAGCTTATGCTGGGCTGCAGTCACTTGGCATTTGCTTGGCACAGGACATTTTAAGCTGAAGAGCTGACCATGCAAGCACGACAGACTGAAGAGAAACCCCTCCTGCTAAACTTCCAAGGATATCTGGATCAAAGGCCTCTCCATCCAAAAAAGTTTTTATGAGTGTGAGCAAAGAGCAGCAGAAAACACAATTTGCTGAGGTTCAACCCCAAAACTCCTGCAGTTTGACACGTGAGGATGGCAGTGATGGTGGTCAGCTTTCCATGCTTCAGGCTCGGAGGTTTTGTGAGACATCTTGCTCCTATCCTTCGTTTTTCCAGCAGGTTTCCATGTCCCATCATTCCTGTGATTCCCCTGGGGAATGAGATCCTCTGCCCACCATCTCCTGGCCCCATTCCTTGTGGCTGGACTCCTGCAGGCCACGGCCCTTGGTCTCGATGGGCAGGAAGCAGGAGGCCAGGGCAGCCAGCAGGCAGCAGCCACTGTAAACCAGCAGAGTCAGATAGACTGAAGATTCCAACATCACCTGCAGGAGAAAGGCAGGGAGTGCAAAACAGCACCTCAGCATGGAAACACATTGGTGGAGCAACAGGAATTTTAATCGTAGTATTGGGAATAAAGTTCAATTTGAAGTTTCTGGAAAGGAGGGAGATTTTACAGATCGTGCCAGGACAAGGGACAGTTGTTTTAAACTGTCAGAGGGCAGGATTAGACTGGATTTTAGGAAGGAATTCTTCCCTGTGAGGGTGGGAGGTCCTGGCACAGGTTGCCCAGAGAAGCTGTGGCTGCTCCATCCCTGGAAATGTCCAAGGACAGAGCTTGGAGCAACCTGGGATAGTGAAAGAAAAGCAGGTTCTACATCCCCTTCACAGAATCATGGAATTGCAAAAGCTGGAAAAGACTTCCCAGATCATCAGTCCAAGCTTCCTGTGTGTCCAATCTGAGAGGAGAAGGGATTTACCTGTGCAATGAACGGGGTTATGAGGGCTCCCACTCTGGCCATTCCACTGCACGTTCCCAGGCCCAAAGCACGTGTGGCTGTGGGATAAACCTGGGGAAAAAAAATCATCCCATCAATCCCAGTGGGAAGTTTTCCTCCTTCCATTCCTAAATCAATGGGAATTAATAAAGGGTGCTACAGCACGTTCTGTCAGACAATGACAATGGGGTCTACAGCTCCAGTCTGGGGTGAGGTCCATTGGGAACAGGTCATCAAAATGACTTTCCCACCCTGTTCTCACTCCCCTTGAATATTCCCATCACCACAACAACCCCCTTACCTCAGGAGTGTAAACATAGGCAGCCTGAAATCCTCCTGAAATAAAAGCTCTTGCAATGAAGAGCAGCACAGTAAGAACATTTCTGTGAGGAGAAAGAGGAGAGCAGAGCTTGGGTTCACTTGGATTTCACTTTTAGTTCCCTCCCAAAATCTGGTGAGAAAACCCAATCCCAGCCTTAAATTCTCCAGCTGAGCACGACCATCCCACAGCTTCAAACCAGTTCTCCCACCACAACCAAGAGAGGACATGGAGAAATCCTTTACTCCAGCTGTTCCTTGTGCTGGACTCACCTTCCAACACAGAGAAAGAGCAGGAGGCTGCAGAAGGAGAAGACAAGGAAGGACAGGGCCATGGTTTTCTTGCGGCCGATGCGGTCAATGATCCACAGAGTCACCAACACACCTGTGGGAAGAGACCAGGAAGCCCTTGGGAATCAAGAAAAGAGGGGTTGCAGCAGATTTAACACAGCCTGGGTGGTTTAGATTGGAAATTTTGGCCTCTCTTTCCAGTCCTTTGCTGGCCCCAGGCAGACTGTGGGATGGATTGCTGCTGGTGCCATGTGGAAACAGGAATTCTGTGTCCCAGCTGCTCCACAAATCCCCACTCCCATCCAAGGATTACTGATGGGAATGCCTAAAACACCTGCTCATGGCTCACTGGAAGAGAGTAACTTCTGCTCAACTTCTGGCCATTGCTCCCTGTTGGATTTAAAGGCTCTTTAGAATGTGGTCTTTTCTTTCGGTTCTGTTATTTAGATGTTTCACCAAATCATTTTTCCCCTGATTTTTGATAGGAAATAGATCAAGCTCAGTAAATCTCACTATTAGGTCTTCCCTCTACTGCAATTCTCCCAGATCCTTTTGAAAGCTGATGCCCAGCAGGAGTGGGGATTATTCCAGCATCAGTGTCACATCCAGAGGTACCCTGTCAATATTTCTCACTCCCACCTCAGTGTGTGTGTGTGAGGATCAAACCAGACCTTGCAGCCACAGCACCACTCCAGGCACCCATTCTTTTTTCCTGGGTATCCCTCCCAAAATTTCTGTTTGGCAGCACACTCCTCTTGGGAATGACTGTGCATATTTCTCAGAAATTATCATTCATTAAATGGCTTCTCCTTGAGCTTTTAGCCCTGAAATGATGATCCAGGAGAGCGAAAATATCCTGATCCCTGTTTCTGGTGTTGTTTCAATCAGATTAACACTGGGAAATCCCCTCCATCTGAAGGATCAATGGCTGTTTCACACTATTTTGCTTGTCCTGTGCCAGACTGTCCATTGAAATTTGCTGGAATTGCCTGAAAAATCACAGGGTCAGGACTGAGGCTGGACACAGGGATTTAGGGAGCAAGTTCTCCATGGATTCACTGTACACATCATCCCTTGAAAATACTTCTGGAAAGTCACTTATGGATAGAAATTCCAGTGTTTCTGCCCCTTTGATTGAGGTTTTCCTCCTCCTGAAGTGTTGCTGGGTTGGAACACACAGAGGGGCCATTCCAGAGCAATGACTGATTTTTTTTCTGGAGTGATCCCAGGGCAGGGAGAATCCACAGCTACAGCAAGGACCTCTGAGTGCTGTGGGAAGCATCAGGCCAGAAATCCCAGTCCCACTGCAGCTTCCAGAGCTCATTTCCACACCCTGAGCCATTCCAAGGAAAAAACTGGAGCTTCCCATTGCTCCTTACCAGGGAATTCTGACAGGGTTGTCCAGAGCAGGTCAGTGTAATCTTCCTCTGTCAGGTACTCACAGGTCAGGCTGCACTTGGCTTTTACTTCCTGCCTTCTGCTGGATACTGCAGGGAAAAAAAACCCACAAATATTCAATATATTTTAAGCAAATTCTTCCCTGCTTACCCTTCCTGCTGGGTCTCTCATCTTTACTGCTGAAATTTAGGAAGGGCTGGGCTGGAAGGACTGGTATGGATTCACTGCACCCAGCATCCTTTAAAATACTTCTGGGAAGTTGTTTAGGGATAGAAATTCAAGTGATTCTGCCCTTTTGATTTAATTGTTGTTCCTCTTCTGAGTGCCTGCAGTGCTGCTGGGATGAAATTCAGAGTCAGAGGGGCATTGAAGAGCAATGCTGGGTGATTTTGCCTGAAAACACTGAACATTTGTAATATTTTCTGTGGCAGGATGTCTCAGCTCGGTGAAAATTCCACCTCCTTATCAGCTGCACAGCCAGAATTATTTTCCAGGGCTCAGGACAGAATTAACTCTAATGATTCAGTTTCTCCCACCACAAATTGGGATCCCAACACTTCCTACACTCTGAGAATACTGAAAAACCCCATGTCCTTATAAAAACAAGGGTTTTTAAGGGCTACATCCTCCTCTGGGGAGGCAAACCTGAGTCAGAGCTCTCAGAGCTCATCATTGCTGTTCAGCCCTGGATTCTGGGGCTGCTCCAACACTCCCCATCCACCTTTTATCATTTCCCAACTTCCAGGCAGTTTTCCCTAATTACAAATGTTCTGAATGCAATCATTTCTCCCCTGGGGAATCAAACTGTTCAAGCCTCTTCTTAACTCAGTCAAAGCACCTTCTTTTTTCCCCCAAAAAAATTCTGCAACACAAAGGATGTTGATTTCCCACCATTATCTTTTTTCTCAGCAGGTTTTCCCATCTTGAGAACCCAGGAGCTCCACAGCAGCAGTTTCTTTCTCTCAGAACTAATTAGACCTGTCAAATCTGCAAACTTCTATTTATTTAATAACTTTTTTTTTTTTTTTTTAATCAAGAGGAACAGATAACAGGTCTGCCTTGAAGGTTGTCTTCCTGTTTGACATTTTGGGCTCAAAACCACTTCAGGACCTCTCTGCAATGGGCAGAGATGAGGAAATATTTAAAATAAAATAAACTTTAAACTCAGCCATGTTCCCTTTCCAAACCACCAGCAGAAGGTGATCTAATAAAAGATATTCCAGCAGTTTTAACAGGACATATTCAAAAAGAAAAGATGGAGCAATACTCACTGCTGCAAACATCTCCTGCTTGGAAGAGCTCTGTAGTTAATAAAACTAACCCATAATATGAAAAAGCATTGGAAAACCTGCAAGGAAGCAAATGAGAGAGGAAGTTTCAGCTGGTCCAACTCAAAAGAAACACCACCAATCAAAAGTCCTACCTCAAAGCTATTTCAGCATTCAGAAAATTAAAGGGAAATTTGATTTGGAATGCTTGGGTGGTTGAATAAATTACAAATCAATACAAGTTGGGGTTTTTTTTTGTTTAGTTGGTATTTTTATGAGGAGGAAGTTGCTGTATTGAGTAAAATCCCTTCAGTCAAACCCATTTAGAGCTGTGCTGACACTGAACCTTGAGGTTTTCTCTTACCAAATAAACCAGAGCAACACCGTGGTCCAGCGGAAATGGGGGGTGAAAAGATCCCTCATTTTGCCTCGGTCCTCCTGTTGGGAACAAGCAGAAGGTGGGTGATGAGGGACAGCTGAAGTGTCAAACTTCATCTTGTTTCATGCATTCACATGCAGGAATTCCAACCTGAGCTCTTTAACAACCTCAAGGTTTGGTTTTCTTTAATAACAGTGAGGTTAAATAACATTCAATGCCCATTTTAAAGCTGCTTTTCACTTCCAAATGAGAAATTAACTCTTCCTCAGTGGAAAAGAGGCCTAAATGATCAAATTTTTTTTTTTTTCTGCCTGAGACATTAAAATTGAACAGCACATTGATTATTTGCTTACAAACCCCCTCAGTTTCACTGCTCTGTCACCTGGACATACCTGCCTGGAAACCACCAGTTTTCCCAAGGGCATTGGAGCTCCATTTTCTGTGGCAATCCTCTTCAAAGTGGCCAGAGCCTTCTCCTGGTTCCCAGATAACACATCATACCTGGCACTCTCTGGCAGCCACTAAGGGAGCAGAGCAGGTCACACACACAGGAGGGTGTCACAACCACAAATAAACAAATCTGGGATTTTCCTTGGGGGGAATCTCAGCGACTCCAGCAGATTCTCACTTAACAAAGGATTACAGAATTCATCTCAACAGGCTTTAAAAACTGCAACCCCCCACTTTTCCCATCACTCAGGACTCTTTCCCTTCCATTCCTTTGGGTTTATCCCTGAGAGCTGTTGGGAATTTTTGCAGGTTTTTTACATTATCCCTTCTGTGCAGGAATGGCAAAGCATCCAGGTCAGATAACAAGATGCTCCTGGCATTCCAAAAATTTATGGAATTTTTGGAATAAAATGGAATAAAATTTATGAGTTTAGGCTCCTTTTAATTTAGAACAAGCTTATGATCACCTAGAAAACTGGAAGTATTCCTGAAAAACTAAGGAATAAAAAAGGCTGCTAAACCACCTGACAAGGACATTTATCTTTGAGGAGACTGAGTGATTGGCAAAGATATCACCTAATAAATAATAAAATATATCACTGAAGCTCAGGTTTAACTTATTTTAGAATCTGGCCTGCACTCTGCAGATTCTATCCCTGATTTGGGAGGATTCTTAAGTGGAAACTGATTCTAGAAGTGACAAAATCTAAAGAGAATTTAGGGAAATAGCAACAGCTTTTGATAAAATGTTAATTCCACTGAGCTTAGTTGAAACAAAATAATTAAATTGGAGAGGGTTCCAGGTCTGATTTCACCCCAATTCCAGCCCTGCAGAAATTACAGTCACATCAACACAACTCTCCCTGGAATGTTTTTCCCACCACCCTGTTGAAACTGCATTTTTTGGTCATTATTTCAGTTATTTCACAGAAGACACCACCAGAGAGCTCAAATCTGCCCTGATTTCCTTCAGCTGGGTCAGAACGGGGTGGAGGAATGGGAATTGCAGGAATTCCATGAATCCATGAGGAATACCTACAAAACACAGGCCAGCAAAGAGCAGGAGCGGGAGGGCAGAGAGGATGAGGAGCCAGCGCCAGCCGAGCGTGGGCATCACCACCACTGCCAGGAGCACTTCAAACACTGTCCCAAGGGCCCAGAACACCTGCAAGAGGGAAAAACAACAGGAAAAAAATGAGGAATGGAGTGCTCCCAAAGCCTCTTCTTTGGAACATTCCAGGCTGTGCTCAGCAGGGATGGCTGGAGGGAGAAATTCCAGGGGTGCGAATTCTGTCTTAAAATATTCCAAGGCCAAAATTCTGCCCTGAGTGACTTTGACAGGTTTGGATGAAGATGTGGGGTGGGATTTAGCACTGACTTTGTGGAGCTGTCAGCTCTCCAAATCCATCACTGAGATGCATTTCACCACAAAATCATGGACACCCAATGCCCCTCTTGTGCTCACTCTGCAGCCCTGGGTGCAAAATAATTTGGAAAAAAGGCAAATTCAACACCAAGAGTGGAGTGTGACAGGAAAAGTTTTTGCTGCTCTTGGAGCTGGGCTGGTAGCAGAGCTCAGGAGCTCCACCAAGATGGACAGGCCAGGCCTGGCTGCAGCTCTGAGGGGATTTCCAGGCAGGAGGATGGAAGGGATGTGATCACCCAGAGCATTTGTCCCTCAAGGATCGGGATGCACCCACTCACCTCTATTAATAAAATGCATTTTGCTCTGGCTTTCATTGGAAGGAACTCAGCATATAAAGTTACCCTAAAAGAGGGAACAGAGAGGAAAATGTCAGCATAAAGAGGGAAATGCCACAGGTTCAAACAGCTCTTTTGCCTTTTAATAAAACTGCCAAATTCAGAGCAGCAACTCAAAGCTCTCCCTGTCCCCAGAGCCAGCCAGGCTGTGACACTGGGTCACATCCCACTTCACCCCAGAACAAACCCTTCAACATTGCAAGAGAGGACACAGTTTGCTCTTTTTGTGTGGTTTTGTGACCCCATGGCCATCAGTTAAATGCAGATCTTGATGCTCATGTTTTCATAGCCCATTGGAAATACCATTTTATCTGGTATATTCAGTGTGGTCCATCAGAATTCAACACAAACTCTTGCTGGATAAAGAATTTCTTCAGGGCTTTACAACTGGCTCAGAGAATTCCCATCCATCTCCTGTGCCAGGGTTCAATTCTCCAAGAGGGGAATACTTTCATGTCACTGATATAAAATAATTTGCATTCTTTTACTGTGGGATTCAAAGAGCAACCACTGAGGCTTTGTTTCATGCCTGTGCCAAGGAGTGATGGCAAAGCTTCTCCAGGAGGAATTCCTGAGGAGGAGTTCAGGCAGCAGCCAGTCCAGGCTCTGTCATCTCTTTCAAACTGGAAAGGTTTGCCTTTGCTCTGTTTGCATTCCATTGACTCAGTCTGTTCCTGCTTCCTTTGAGGTTTGGGACAGAATTCCTACTAACTTAAAGAGTGGATTGATCTCTGAGGAGCTGCCCAGTTTGTGGAAAGCAGGAAGTCTCACACAATATTTCATTCAAGCAGAGATTTAGAGAACTCAAATCACATCTTGAAGTGTGGCTCAGGCCCCTCTGCAGTGCAGAGAAAACAGGAGCTGGTGAATGACCCCAGCAAAAGAAGGACATGGAATTGTTGGAGCCAATCCAGAGGAGGGAATGACTCTCACTCCATGGAGATCCAGGCACTCACCTCCAAAATCACACAGCTTAAGGATATTAGAAAGGAGCTACTTGTCCTGCTTCATCTATGTTTACCCCTCTGTCAAATAAACCCTTTTATAGTCAGAACAGGAAACAGACTCAGGGAGGATGGGATCCACCTGGAGGTCTGTAACTGCCTCTGGCTTTTCTCTCATGAAGCCACAGAACCTCAGTGAGCCCAGTCCAGTGGCCCTGGCTGGGCTGCACCTGCAGCTCTGAGTTTTTATCTGGGAGTGGCCATGGAAAAGCCACTGGGAAGGAATCTGTGAGCCATCAATGCAAGCCAGGCTCTCCTGCTCCAAAATAGCACCTCCAGAAGGCAAAAAAATCAATTGTTGGTAAGGATAAAACACTACAGAGAGAGAGAGAATGGCTGCACCCTTCTCTTTACATTTATAATTAAAAGCCTAGAGCAGGGTTATTTATTGCAGGTGGAAAATTTATGGATCCCTCTCTTCAGTGAAAGGAACCACACAATGATAAGAGAAAATATCCTGGCCCTTCCCTTTCCTTCTGAGCCATCCCAGCATCTCCGGTGCTCAGGTCTGGGCTGTGTGGGTTTGAAATTCCAGCTCAGGGTGAGGTGGGGAAGTTCAGGCTCTGACTGAGCAGCAATCTGGGGTTTTACAATCAGACTCAGGGCTCAGCTCTGCCTCTAAATCCTGCTCTGTTCAAGGCATTACCTGCCCTGCAACAAGACCAAGGTTTGGGGTGGCTGAACAGAAACAAGACTTCAGTCCTACAGGAGAATCTCATAAGAAAGAAAGAGAAATGAGGAAGTTTGGAGTTGTGAGTATTTACTTACGACTGAGGCACTCCTCCAATCCCAAAGCCCACCAGGCCCCTCAGCACCAGGATCCAGCTGTAAATGGGAGCAAATCCACTGAGGATCCCATAGTAGAGCGTCCACAACACGCTGATCTTCAGGCCCTGTGTTCAGCAAGAGTTAAAAATCACTGTAACACAAATTCATTTAATTAAAATAAAGTGTAAAACAGAGCTTCAGATGCCTTCTGTTTCGTAGGGGCTCAGTTCTGGATGTGCTTAGTGCTGCTTTGTACACGTGCACATTTGGGAATATGGAATCCTGGGAGGGTTTGGGCTGGAAGGGACCTCAAAGCTCATCCCATCCCAGGTGTAGGAACACCTGCCACTATCCCAGGGTGCTCCAACCTGGCCCCAAACACTTGCAGGGATGAGGCAGCCACAGCTTCTCTGGGCCAGTTGCACTGAAATGTCCATGCTGCAGAAATATTGGGATAGATCCCAGAAGGAGCTGCAGACTTACTGTTTTCCTCCCATACTGGTCTGAAATGTTTCCCCAGAGTGTGGAGCTGGACATCATTCCCACAAACACCACCTGTGGAACAACAGGGAAAAAAAAAAAATCTTTCCCTTAACAAGTGAAATTCCAGTGTGACAAACACAGAACACAAATTTCCAATGAAACCAGAACATTTCAGCCCACAACAGAGTGAGATGGGCAGGAGGTCAGACAATGCTTTGGGTTGGAAAGGGCCTTAAAGATCATCCAGGTCTCTCTGGGCTGGAGCAGGGAAGCAAACAAGGTCCCTCCTCAAGTCAGCTTTGCATTAAAAAATCCATCAGTGACAACCCAGAGAATCCCAGTCTGGCAGGACTGGGAACACTGGTATTGTCCCATTGTGAGTCCAGCCCTGGAAGACACAGAGCTCTCCAGCTCCAAGGAAAATATTCCTGAATAAAAGCTGAGGAGCTGTTGGTTGAGATCTGCAGGACAGAGCTCTCCTCCAGCCTCCTACCACCATCCTCAGCAGCTCCCAGGTTTGAACTGAGATAAAATTACACCTTAAAAGTTTACAAAAGTCTGAAGTGTGAAAGAAAATACCCCTGAAGCCTTTCCAGAGGTGACACTCTTGTGCTGAGCTGCACTCAGGGATGGGACATTCATGGGATTCAAGGACACCATTTCAATCTGCTGAGCATTTGAGGGATTTTACACAATCAAAGAAAGGGCATTAAAAGCTAAAGGAAAGAGAAATTCAGGGGGAAAAGTCCCTGCATTCAGCAGTGGCCTGTGCTCAGAAAAGGATTCCCAAATTTGTTTTCTTATCCCTAAAGGCACTGCAGGATTCCAATATTCACAGCACCATCCTTGGAGGTGGTGTTGTAAGATCTCTGCTTCCAAAGATCACTGGATAATCCCAGAATTATTTAGGCTGGAAAAGATTTCTGATGGCATTGAGTCCAACCCCAAAAATCAACTGTTTGTTCTCTCTCACAGCTCTCAGCATGTCAGAAAGCTTAAATGTGAGGAGAGAGAAAGATTTGCAAGCAAGATATTAAAAATTTACCAATTTTTAAAAAATTCATCAAATGGCTTGAATTTTAGGATGAATCTGAGTGAATTCATAGGTTTTCCTGGAAATGACATAAAACATTGAGCCTGAAACCTGCAAAATGCCCTCAGTTCTCACTGAATTTTATTACGTCAATCTTAAAAAAAAAACTCCTATAAATCTTTTTTTAAAACCTCCTATAAACTTCCAAGCTGAAGGCAACCCGCAAAGGCCACGAGGAGATTTAATTTTGGGGGACACAAAGCAAAATGTCTGGATAACAATGATGGCAAAAGCTCAGGGGAGACAGGAGCTGTCAGGTATTTTTCCTACCGAGGTGAGCAATGCAACCTGCCAGCTGGGTAAGCGCCACTCACAGTGCAGCTGAGGAGCAAGGATACTTAAAATCATCATTTCCATGGCATCTGCCATCTGCAGGGGGAAGAGAAAGCAAAAATCAACAAGTGCCTGCAAATCAGGTGGATTTAGGAGTCAATCATAAGCCTTGGTGACATTTCCGTGATGTTCCCAGCTTGTGGTCGAAGAAAATGTTGAATATTTAACATTTGAAGTCATTTCTGATTGTCAGCACTTTTAGTAACTCTGGCAGAGAGGATTGAAAGAGCTGAATGCAAAGGTTTTGAGGAGGTTTGGCTGGTCAGTGACACAGTTCAGTCACTTCCATAGTACAAATTCCAGCTTCCAGCTCCTTCCCACATGGGTTCAGTCAAGAGTGTTTAATATCTTGTAACTTATTCCCTTAAACACTCCTGGGTTTGCATTTTTCACCTGCAAACCAAATTCCACAGCTGGTTTAGGATCTAAACCATGGCAGATTCCAGCTTTTACAGGGATAAAAGCCAGTTAATACAGCTCCAGGTATCAGGATCCTGAAACACACCACAGGAGATGGAACACAGAGCTTCAGAGAGAGCAGAAAAATGCAAACCAAGACTTTTTTTTGTTGTTGATATCAAAGTTAAAAGTGGAAGTGCTGAGTTGCTGCTCCTCTGAAATTGAGATTACAGCAATCCTGACTGCTACAGACAACTGAGGTGGCAGCTGATGAGAGGAATGTAGCAAAATCACTGCAGGAAACCTCAGGTTCTGCAGGAGCAGCCTGGAACCTCCTTCATTTGAAACCAAACTGAAGTGCAGAATTGGAATGGTTTTCCAAACCCTGATTTCTAAGAACTTCAGAGACAAAGAAATCCATCATTACCCCTCACAGCAAGGCTGGGTGCTGCTGTTGGTTTAGAATTCCCAGGGAAATTCCTGCTTTATTGTGCATTTATCTGCTTGGAGATTCTCTGCCACCATTATTGGAAATCCCTGAGATTCTCTAAGGGATGATCAGGAATTGATCCTGATCCCAATTACTTGCCCATGCCAATCCAGTAATGACAGAGAGCTTCCACTGGAACTTCCCAAATCCAATGGCTTCCACTGCATCCTCCACCATGAAAGTATCTGCAAAGAAAAAAATTCCAGTGGATTTCTTCCTGAGAAAAGCCAGCCCTTGAGAGAGAATTTTCTGGTTTAATTACTAATTAATTGGCTAATCTGCTGAGATCTCAAATCTATAACAGAGCTACTTAGTTGTAATTATACAATTCCTACTCAGGAAAATCTTTGTGTTCTTCCAAAGCCAAAATAATTTGCATTATTCCTAGAATATTTTATTCACATGGAGGTAAATCAGTGTGGCACCCACAAATCCAGCCCATGTTCAGCCTCTTCCTCCTGGGAGTGACTCCTGCAGCCACTGGAGTGCAGCTTTCTGTGGGGAGAAACAGCTCTGCCCCAGCCCACAGCAGGGCTGGGAGCTGCAGGGAATATTTCAGTGCAACCTCTCATTATTTAAATCAATAATTTCTCCAAAACACACAAATCTTAAACCCAGCTTCTGTTCAAAATGCTGCTGGTTGTTTCCCACCCACTGCCATGAAGCTCTTTAGTTTGTTCCTAGCTGAAGGTGCTCAAAGATGTCTCAAATTTGAGGTGCCTCAAATTCTTTTGCTCAAATGCAAAATGAAATGACCAAGAAAAACACATTTTGATATTTGAGTTGTTTAAATCAATTTCAGTCTCACAGTTCTAACACTTGCATCAGCTTGGAAAGGACATTCCTCAGGAAAAGCTTTGGCTCAGAGCTGTGAGGTCCCCACAACAACAACACAAACCAAGAGAAAATAAAACAAAATCCAAGGGATAAAGCACAAAAACAAGAATAATAACACCAAATTTTCACACTGTGCTAAGACAAACTCAAATTTCTCCTCTCTCCTAAAGCAGTGATGCCTCCAGGCAGGAAGAGAGGCTGAGATGGACATTCCTGATGTCCTCTAGGAAAAGAGGAGCCAAGAACTCTGCAGATTCATCTCAGCCTTGAAGGAGAGCCAGCTCCAGAGGGAACTCAGAATTCAAATTGCAGTGTGGCAGCTGCATCCACAACTCCCTGACAGGAGCATCCAGCACTGGGGACACAAAAAGGAGCACAGAGAGCACCCCCCAGGGAATGGGCTGATCAAACCACCATTTCCAGCTCTAACACAATTTCCATGAGTTATTATTTATATCTGGGCATCCTTAACTTCTCCAAACCCCCTGCACCCAGCCTGACTGGGATGAAGAGACCCCACAAGGCTCTCCCAGCAGGAAAATGAGCTCTGCTCACCATGGGTGAGGTTGGAAAATTCCAAACCCCCTGCACCCAGCCTGACTGGGATGAAGAGACCCCACAAGGCTCTCCCAGCAGGAAAACGAGCCCTGCTCACCATCCATGGGGTTGGAAAATTCCAAACTCCCTGCACCCAGCCTGACTGGGATGAAGAGATCCCACAAGGCTCTTCCTGCAGGAAAATGAGCTCTGCTCACCATGGGTGAGGTTGGAAAATTCCAAACTCCCTGCACCCAGCCTGACTGGGATGAAGAGACCCCACAAGGCTCTTCCTGCAGGAAAATGGGCCCTGCTCACCATCCATGGGGTTGGAAAATTCCAAACTCCCTGCACCCAGCCTGACTGGGATGAAGAGACCCCACAAGGTTCTCCCAGCAGGAAAACAAGCCCTGCTCACCATGGGTGAGGTTGGAAAATTCCAAACCCCCTGCATCCAGCCTGACTGGGATGAAGAGATCCCACAAGGTTCTCCCAGCAGGAAAATGAGCTCTGCTCACCATGGGTGGGGTTGGAAAATTCCAAACCCCCTGCACCCAGCCTGACTGGGATGAAGAGACCCCACAAGGTTCTCCCAGCAGGAAAATGAGCTCTGCTCACCATGGGTGAGGTTGGAAAATTCCAAACCCCCTGCACCCAGCCTGACTGGGATGAAGAGACCCCACAAGGCTCTCCCAGCAGGAAAACGAGCCCTGCTCACCATCCGTGGGGTTGGAAAATTCCAAACTCCCTGCACCCAGCCTGACTGGGATGAAGAGACCCCACAAGGCTCTCCCAGCAGGAAAACGAGCCCTGCTCACCATCCGTGGGGTTGGCAAATTCCTTGGGCACCGCAGCTCCATCCTCCAGCTCCACGGGCTCCAGCTCCGTCCTCACCCCCTCGATCTGCACCTCGTGCTCTCCTGAAATTCCATCCTCCTCCGACCTCGAGCTCTCCCCCGTGCGGCGGAACTTCACCACCCTGAAAGCACAAAAAAACACCGGGATGGATCCTTCCAGGAGGATTTCCCAGCTGGGGAGGATTGAAACCCTTTTTGCATCGAGGTTTCTCCTCATTCCCTGTCTCCATTCTCCACTGGGAACGCTGGGATTTGGGTTTGGGTCTGGTTTGAGGTGTCCTCATCCTTGGGATTGGACACAGAGGTTGTTATTGTGCTATCCACAAAGTTATAAAACCACTGAGATCATAAAAATATGATGGAATGATGCATATTTAATGAGATCCATGTCTGGTGTGCCTGGGTTTAATTGGAATTAGGCATTGCTGTGTCATTGAACTGGATTTAATTGGAATTAGGCATTGCTGTCTCATTGAATTTCAGGGGTTTTGTCCAGGCAGGAAGAGCCCAAATTCCATTTCCTGAGTTGTTTCTGTGATCAGAAACTCCAGAAATGCACCAGAATTTGAAATGTTATTTAGTGAAATACAATTACTGAGCTCATTCATTGGATGAGCTGAATGGATAGAATTTTCTTTTTTCCAGCAGGATGATGATTCTGTGGCTCTGCTTGCATCTTAAACAGAATTATTTAATATCATGTCATTAATGAAATATCTGTATTTTAAGACCAGAATTTGCTAAATTGACACAGCTTTGATGTTTTGGTCAGAGGGATTTGCTCCCTTCCCACAGAGAAGGTTCTTTTCCCATTTATGAAGTTTTCTGTGGCCAAAGATTTGGGAACAGATCCCTCAAAGTTCCTTCACTTTATCTGCAACACAGCAGAGCTTTCTCCCTTTGGAAAGTGGAAATCCCTTGGATTTAAGTGAAATAGTTTTGGAAATAAATTAAATTATCCCAGAATCACAGGGAGGGACCTTAAAGATCATTCCAGCTTTGGAGGTGATGGATCCTACAAAATCTGAGAATCACAAATCCAGACTGCCACATTCCTCAGCACAGAAAATAAAAATATAGGTGTATAGTTTAGGGATAGATAAAAAAAAAACTGATACAAACAAAGGAAAAAACTCCACAGGTAAAATTTCTGTTCCATATTTGCCACATTTTCCACATCTGGGACATCTCAGGGAGCTGCTGCATTTATTTGCAAAATCTCACAGCACCAAAACAGCTGCACTGGAAGGTACTTTGGAATGTATTCCCAGGTTTTGGTCTTAAAAATGGAAAAAAAAAAAAGCTCTTGACAAAATAATAACCTCAGATAAAATAACCTCAGATTCTTTTCCCTGACAAGCTCAATCCTAACCAAGGGCTGGAAAAGAGCTGGAGCTCCTGTCCAAGTTAGCAGGAATGTTTTGGGACAGGGTGCTCTGTCATTGACACGAGCTCATGAATATTTAACACCAACTTGAAACATTCCTTCCCTGCCTGGCGGAGCCCATGATTTATAAATAGGAAATATGTTGCAAAACACCTGAGAATGGAGCATTAGGAAAAAAGCAGGTTGGTTTTAAAGGAAGGATTTGAGGGGAAAGGAAGGAATTCCTGGGGTTTAAGGCACCAAAGATTTTATCAGGTTTGGGGTTGGGGTTTTGCCTCTTTTTTTTAATTTTTTTTTTTTTTTTTTCACAGATCCAGCAACCACATCCCAAAAATCAGCATTTTCCTGGTGCAGCTTTCCAGAAACGCTGCCAATCCCAAGGGGGTTTTTGGGGTCCCCCCCACCCCACCTTGGCAGGGCAGGTTCTGCTCTGCGATTCCTCCCTGGCGAGGAGGAGGAGGATGGCGAGGAAGCACAACGTTATTTACAGCCAAACCACCCTGCAGAGGCGATCCCAACGTCTCCTTTCCCAAAATCCCCACGATTTTATCCCAACCCTTGCTGATTTTTTTACTGCCACCAAAAAAATGGTGGTAAAAACCACGCCGAGGAAAAAACCAAAACCAAACAAACAACAAAAAAACCCCACAAAACAAACAGGAAAAAAAAAATCCAAAAAACGAAACGAGACGAGTGAATTTATGTAACAAACAGCTCCTGCATCCCTCGGGATGCTCCACCCGGGCAGCTCCAGCGGGAAAATGGCCTTGCCCGCCGGGCTGTGAGCGGCTCCCCGGCGGAATCGGCCGCTCCCCGGCGGGATCCCCGCGGCCGGAGGGGCAGGAGCCCCCCCGGAGCTACTCACGGCAGCTGCTTCAGCTGGAACAAATCCTCCTCCATGGCCGGGCGGCGGCTGCGCTCATCGCTCCCGCATGGCGGGCTCGGGCTGCGGGCTGGAGCGCCTGGAAGGGCTGGAAGGGCTGGACAGCTCCGCAGGAACCGCCGCGCCTGGGCTCGGCTTAGCCGGGCTCAGCCTGGCACGGCACGGCTCAGCGCGGCTCGGCTGCTTTGGCACAGCTCAGCTCAGCTCGGCATGGTTTGGCTCGGCTCGGCTCAGCGTGGCTTGGTTTGGCACGGCTCGGCTCAGCTCAGCTCGGTTTAACTCAGCTCGGTTTGGCACAGTTTAGCGTGGCTCGGTTTAGCTCAGCTCGGCTCGGTTCCCGCCCTGGCCATGGCTGGGCCTGGCTTAGCTCAGCTCAGCGGGGTTTGGCACGGCTCAGCTCAGCACAGCTCGGCTCGGCTTGCAGCGTTTGCCTGAGCTCGGTTTGGCTGAGCTCGGCTCAGCCGCGGTTTCCCCATTGCCCCTGCGGGGCTGTACCGGGTAAATCCCCGAGCCCGGGCGCTGCCAGCGCTGCCGGGGCCGGCCCGGGCCGTGTCCCCGGGGGTCACATCCAGCGGCACCGGCAATCCCCGGGCACCGCACCCAGCGCTGCCAGGGCTGCACAACCCTTCCAGGAGGGTTTGCCCTCAGTATCCCAACCAGAGAGCCACGGGAGCGGCGGGACTGCGGTGTTGTCCCGCTGTTCTCCCGGAGCGCTGAGCCCCGGCCCTGAGACACCCCGTGAGGGCCAGACAGCGCGGGGATCCAGCCCGTCACACGGGGACCGGCCTGAGCCCCACAGGGCTGCCCAGCACAGCCGCTGTCACACCGGGAACGGGCCGGTTACCCCCGCTCCGGGCCGCCCACACCGCTCCGGGCCCGCCCCCGGTGCCGCCCCCGGTACCGCCCGCCGCCATGGCCGGTCCCCTCCATGATGGGCCCCCCCCGCACCACTTCCGGCACCACCGCCCGGCCGGTCCGCGCGCTGCTGCCGTCCCCCCGGCTCCGCCCGGCCGCGCGCCCGCGTTCCGGCGCGGCCATGCTGGCGGACGGGCCGGTGCGGCGGCTGCTGCGGGCGGGGGAGGGGGCCAGGTCCGAGGGGAGGGGGCGGCTGCCACCGGAGAGGGTCGGGACGGAGCGGGAAGGGGCTCGGAATGAGCCGAGAGGGTGCCGGGTCCGAGGGCAGGGCTGGCGCGGGGGGGGGAGCTCGGGCTGATCGGGGCGAAGCCTCGGCCGAGCGCCTCCTTTCTTCGCTCACCTCCTTCATTTCCCTTTCCTCTTCTTTTCTCCCTTTCCTTTCCTTCTTCCCTTCTCCCCTTCCCTTTTCCTGCTCCATTTCCCCTTTCCCATATCCGCATTCTCTTTGCGCTCCGTTTCCCGGGGCAGGCCCGGGGGGCTGCGGGCTCTCGGGGTTCCCGCAGCTCCTGAGCCTGACCCGCTGTTCCCGCAGCTCCTGACCCCTTCCCTTTCCCGTTTTTCCCGCAGCTCCTGACCCGTATTCCCGTTTTTCCCGCAGCTCCTGCCCCTATTCCTGTTATTCCCGCAGCTCCTGACCCTATTCCCGTTATTCCCGCAGCTCCTGACCCTATTCCCGTTTTTCCCGAGGCAGGCACCGAGCCATGCGGAGCTGGGGGGTGCTCGGGGGCGCGGCGGCGGCGCTGGCGGCCGGGATTTATGTCCTGTGGGGCCCCATCAGCGGCAGGAAACGGCGGCGGAGAGGTACCGGGGGGCTGGGGTTAATTATATTACATTAATTAATTATATATTAATTAATACATTCATATTTATTAGTTATATAATAATTAATATATAATACCACCATATATTAACTATATATACACTACATATTAATTATATATATACCATATTAATTATACACATATTACACATATACACCATATTATATGCATATACATCGTATTAATTATATATGCACCATGTATTAATTATACATATTATTATATAAATTAATTAATATATAATACCACCATATATTAATTATATATACACCATAGTAATTTCACATATTATTATATCTATTAATTATATCTATTAATTAATATATAACACCACCATATATTAATTATATATACACCATATTATACACATATACACCATATATTAATGATATCTATTATTATATCTATTAATTATATATATTAATTAATATATAATACCACCATATATTAGTTACGTATACACCATATATTAATTATATTACACCATAGTAATTATACACATATTACACATATACACCATATTATACAAACATGCACCATATTAATTATATATGCACCATATATTAATTATATGGATACTGAAAAAAATTGTGAAATTTTTGGAGGACCAAAAATCAACTGAAACACCACAAACTGAAAACGGAACACACTGAAATTCATTTTTCTGTAATTACACAGCATTCCTACTGAAAACCAGGATGTTTGCCCTGGATTTCGTGGTGGAAACTCTCACAATTCTCTTTGCAGGGCTCGTGCCAGGCCTCCTGAACCTGGGCAACACGTGTTTCATGAATTCCCTGCTGCAGGGCTTGTCCTCCTGCCCCTCCTTCATCAGGTGGCTGGAGGAGTTCACAGCCCAGTACAGGACGGAGCAGGAGCAGCCCCAGGAGCAGCCCCAGCACCTCTCAGTGACTCTGCTGCAGCTCCTCAGAGGTACTGGGACATTTCCTCTTGTGGCAAAGCAAGGGTTAAATGTTTAAGGAGAAGTGTTGTCATTTTTAGGCTCTTTTCCCAAAGAAAGAAGCTTGTGGGGTTTGTATTCCCTGTGTTATTTCCCTCTCTAATTTACAGATTAATTGAAATGCCTTGGGCAAAGCTCAGGCACCTTTCACAAACGGTTTGAATTCCACAGGATTCAAGAAATTTAGAATTCTATTAAAAAATCTTAGCAAATAATTTAAGCTTTTTTGTTTTCCCCAAGCTTACTATTTTCCTAAAAACCTGTGGCTATTCAACCTCACTTTGCAAGGTTTTGGATATTAAAAATTAAACAAAAATATTATTATAAAAGATAAAATATAAAATATTATAAAAATATGAAATATTATTATAAAATAAATAATATACTTGTATATAATAAATTCATGTAAGAAATACATTCTGTAAATAGATAAATTAGTAAATAAACTATATAAGTAAATTTATATGTATTAATTATATATAATTATTATTTCTATTAATACCTATTTATATAATAGGTATTATATAACATACAAAATATTATTAGAAAATATAAACTATAAAATATTAAATATAAAAGAAATAATATAATTCTATATAACAAATTTATACAATAAATAAATTATAGAAATAAATTGATAAATAAACTATATAAATAAACTTATATAATAGATATTATATAATATGCAAAATATTGCTATAAAATATATAAATATGAAATTTTCTTATAAATAAAAGAATTTTATATACATTTATGTAATTTAACTGTAATTTATTTATTTAGATGAATAAACTAATAAATAAATATCTGTATAAATAAATTTATATAATAAATATTATGTAAAATACAAAATATTATTGTAAAATATTTAAGATTTTAAGCTCAAGGTGATTAATTTTTGGTCTAAATTAATCTCTTGACACCCTCAAGCAACCCCCTGGCTTCCCTCACAGGTTGTTTTTAAATGAAATTTCCGCCTTGGGACGTTCCTGTGGAAGTGGTGTGAGGCTGGTGGTGCTTTAACCCCACAAACCACTGATTTTTCCCCATTTTTGGCTCCTCCTGACACTCTTGCCTTCCCTTCCCCAGCTCTGTCGTGCCAGGAGGTGCCAGAGGACGATGTCCTGGATGCCAGCTGCCTGCTGGAGGTGCTCAGGATGAACAGGTGGCAGATCTCCTCCTTTGAGGAGCAGGTGAGTGCAGCAAGCTGGGAAAATGGAAAACCCTCAGGGCTGGGGCTCTCAGAGCTGGATCCTGCTCCAAAAACTGATGGGAAACATCCCTGGCTTGGGAATGGGAATGGGGCTTTCAGTGGGCTGGGAGTTCCTCAGGGAATTCCAAACCTTGTCCTTAGCACATCTCCTCCTTTGAGGAGCAGCTGAGTGCAGCAAGCTGGGAAAACCCCCAGGGCTGGAGTGTCAGAGCTGGATCCTGCTCCAAAAACTGATGGGAAACATCCCCGGCTTGGGAATGGGGCTTTCAGTGGGCTGGGAATACCTCAGGGAATTCCAAACCTTGTCCTTACCAGCAGGGCCGGGAAGATTTAAGCAGAGCAGATCCCTGATTTCCCTCTGGATAATGGATCTGTTCCCATTTTTTTCAGTAATCCTAATTATTTGCAATTTTTGTCAGTATTTCCAGTGCACTTCATCAGTTATCCCACTCCTAAAATATATTCCTGATTTCCAAGGATAGATGTCAATTATGCTTCCCTCAGAATCCAAAAAAACTAGGGATTTGGGAATTCATTTGGGGGCTATTTTTTCCTCCCAAGTGTTTTAGTTTTTTTGTGAGTTTATATGGCCCAGAATGTCTTGAGTACCTTGTGCTGTTAGGGAGCTTTTGGGCACAACAAAATGTATTCAATATAAACACAAATATAATAATAATAATAATAATAATAATAATAATAATAATAAGAAGAAGAAGAAGAAGAAGAAGAAGAAGAAGAAGAAGAAGAAGAAGAAGAAGTTATAATAGTGATATATAATAGTAATTGTATATAATAATATATATGTAATAATAATATATATGATATATAATTATTACAATATATTATAATATAAATAATATATCTATATAAAAGTTATATATAATAGTAATTGTATATAGTAGTTATATAAAACTTACATAAAATATAATATATACTTAATATATATAATTGAATAACTATATTTAATACATTTCTTTAGAAACTTTATTTTTCATGATTATTTATATTTAGTATGTACTTATATATTTATATATAATATTATATATGATATAATCTAGATTAGACATTTTAGATGTGCTTAAATTTTTATATTTTATGTTTTATATTTCTATAAAATTATACATACAAAATTAGAAGTATCAATATAAATATAGGCATAAATAGAAATACAAATCCAGGCTCTGAGCTGTAATTTTTCCTGAATTTCCTGTGGAATTCCAGCCTTCCTGGGGTGGTTTTTTGATGTCTTTTTTCCCCTGACTCCGTTTCCAGGATGCCCATGAGCTGTTCCATGTCCTGACCTCTTCCCTGGAGGACGAGCGGGATCGGCAGCCCCGTGTGGCCCATCTGTTTGATGTGCATTCCCTGGAGGTGATCCCACTCATTTTCTTCTCAGAAATTCCTGTCACCTGCCCAGATTCCCAAGGAGAAAGTGCATATTTAGGATATTTTGATTCTGTTCCCAAAGCTGTTCTTTAATCCTTTGATAGGGACTCGTCAATAAGTCAAATTTAAAGAATTCTCAGGTTTTTCAAATAAAATGTCTTTGAATTTCCAGTGTTCCTGGGACGTAGGGATTTAATTTAGTTACTCTGATCTGTAGTTCCTACCTGAAAAAGAGTTGAAAACTGTAAAAAAGGGCATTTCTGGAAGAGTTTTATGGAGGTAAAATAGATCTTATCCTCCAGCTTGCTGATAAACTTGATGCAGATGGAAAATTTTAGGCAAAATCTGGTTTTGCCTAAAATATAGACAAAAAAAAAAAAGACAAAATCTCCTATTTTAATACTCTGAGGCAGAGAGTTCTGCAGATTAATGATTCCTTTTTCAAACAATTGTCAATTATAAATTCGTTTTGTACCAGTTTTTTTTTTTTGTTCTTACAATTAAAAAAGAGCCACAATTTTTCTAATGGCAGAAAAGCCAACTAGGGATGAAATAGGAGCACATTTAATACTTCATGTATTAAATTTCTGA